TGGAATTAATAGTGATATAATTTGAAAAGCTTTTAGCATATATGCTGCATTATCAGTAATAAAAAAAACAAGATTTTCAAATAAAATATTATAATATTGTAAAGTTTTTATAACTAATTGAGCAACTGACGTGCTATCTACGGTAGTAATAAATTTGGTTTTGACAAGTTTGGTTTGGTCATTAAAACTGAATAATATATTAATAACTGCTCTGCTATATGTATCTGTAGTTTCGTCAATGGTAATAGAAATTCGTTTGTCTCTTAAAAGATCTTGTAATTTTAATACTTCTATTTCGAACACCTTTGGTAAGTATTTAACACGAAGTTGTTTTGAGCTTGCAATAGAACCGTCTAAATAAAAATTAATTATATAAATTAAATTGTTGAATAGAATATAACTTATTAACTAATAGAGATGATATAAAATACGCATAATTCGAAACATGCATATGAATACACATTTTACGCATTTTCGAATCATGCATATTAATATGTATACTATAAAAAAAATAATAAAAAAATTTTGACAGGATAAAATGTGCATAATTCAGAATTATGCACACGCATTACTGTTAAATGATTACCATTTCTACAATTTTCTAAAAAAAAATCTTTAAGCTTATCAACTTTATATAAAGAAATATCAGCTTTAGTAAATGCATTTACTAAAGCTATATTTATAAGCTCTCGTTCATTTGAACTAATACTAGCTATATCAAGAGTTGTTTGGCGAGTCAATTTTAATTTTTCTGTTTTAATAATATTACTTTTATGTTTATCAGATTTTAAATGTGAGTCCAATGTAGATTTTTTTGTGTAGTCTACAACATGTTGGCAAAATGTACAAAACAGTTTTTGGCCATCCACATAAAAATTTTTTTTATATTCTGCATTTTCAAGTCTACGCTCATCAGGAGAAACCATTGTTAAAATTTGTAAAAAAAAAACAAAAAAACAAAAAAAAGTATCTTTTTATAATATTATAATAAATAAGAAATATATAATTTTGCCTTTATTTTATCTATTTTACAACGTGAATAACATGAGGTTTTACTTGACAATGAGTATACTTATATAATTTTTTCTTTATTCTATTCGATTACTGACTTTTGTTTTATTGTTCTCTCATGAATTTACCACATATAATTTCAAATTTTCACGCATATATTTCTTTTTTTAGGATGAAGTCTAACTTGTGACTAGTATCTTTATATGAAAGAAAATAATTAAACAGTTTATCTAATCTATATAGCAGGTTTTACCTGTTCTTTCATATTTAACTACTTTAATTACTTATCTATTTTTGTTAGTGGTTCTAAACCACGTTAACTATACAATTTTATGCGCAGATTATGCCCTATTAATTATGCGAAATTAGCTCTGATCTGCCAATATGCTATCGCATATGCTATTGCGATAAAATTCAATTTATGCGCATATTATGCCTATTGCAAATCGGCGCTAGCCCTAGATCTGATTAAAAAATGCACGCGTGACCTGTTGTACGACAATCTGATTGTTTGTATAAAACTATAAAAAGGTGAATGTACGACTATTTCCTGCTAAATAAAGTTTTTTCGCTTCCTCTGCGCAAGTTGTGCCAC